TATATATAATTTTTTTTCTTAATAGGTGTGTGAAAAAGCAAGCAGTCCTAAACTGGTGGAACTGTTACTGAATAGTGGGTCCCATGAACAAGACGTACGGAAAGCGCTGGCAATAAGCATCGGGAAAGGCGACAGCCAGATCATCAGTTTGCTGTTAAAGAGACTTGCCCTGGATCTGGCCAACAACAGCATATGCCTCGGCGGATTCTGTATCGGGAAAATCGAACCTTCTTGGCTTGGTCCTTTATTTCCAGACAAGACATGTAATTCAAGAAAAGAAATAAGTAGGTATTAAAAGAACACTTTGTGTGTCTTATTTTTAGTTGTATTTTTTTTGTCACTAATCTTTTAGTTTTTCTTCTAGATTGGTGCAACATAAGCCAAAAATATTGTAAGCGTTTGGGTATCTTTTTCTTGTCATGAAATGCTTGAAAGTGATGTTATATTTAAGTTTTTTATGATCTAGCAAATGCATATTTTATAAAGATAGTGTAAGACTGTGGGATCTTTCTGAGGGGTTACTTTTCTTTTTAATATATTTTATTTATTTACTTTTATTTTTTAAAAATTTTAATTAATTTCAGAGAGAGAGAGAGAGGGAGGGTGAGAGAGGTGAAACATTGATGTGAGAGAGAAACATCGATCTGTTGCTTCCCATACGTGCTCTGACCAAGGATGGAACCCGCAGTCTCGGTGTGTATCCTGATTGGGAATCGAACGTGAGATCCTTCAGTGCACTAGACGACACTTCAACCAACTGAGCCCCACCAGCCAGGACTTTTTTTATATATTTAATTTTTATTATAAAAGTAATTCATACTCATTTTAAAGATAGGGAAACAATCATAAGGAAGAAAATAATAACTTATCCCTTATAGGCAATGATGTAGATTTCCCCTATACTTTTTATTTGTTCATATATACATATGCATTTAAATGTATATGTAGTAACATATATACTTTCATTTTCAAGTTAGCATACTATTGGTTCCAATATTGTGTTCCTTATTGGAACTAGTCAATACTTCTAACTCTAGGTAAGGCCATAACTGCCAAGAAAATGCATCTCTGAGTGTTAGGGTACTGCCTTGGGGGGATGTTCCCGGCTGAAATCTGACACTGGCTCCATACCTGGAGGCCAGGGAAAGACAGAGGAAAGAGGCAGACTACCGAGATTGATCCCTGGCAGGTTTAATGAACAAGGGAACTTAACATACGAGGCTTGTCTGGGCAACTGCAAGATGAGTAAATCTCCACCCCCACCTGCCAGAATCTTAAAGGTCATGTACAGGTCTGACTCTCTCAAAGGCTACATCTGTGGGCAGCTCCCACTGTGGGCAGGATGGGCAGGATGTGAAATCCAAGGACAGGGATAGGGGAGGGGCTTCCGATGGCCCCATCCAGCTCATGGATCCACCAGCAGTAATGTCCTTTTGATGACCTCCTCCAACACAGGATGTGAATTTTAATTAAGGATATATTCTCTCCATATTTTCAAGTTAATATATATTTTTTATATATTAAGTATAATGATGACAAGTTTTCATGAATCTCTTTAACATTTGTCTTTTTAGCTGTCCCTCATTTACTCACACTAAGAGTATTTTTTTCAGTATTTTTCTTTTTTAAAAAAATCTTTATTGTTTAAAGTATGACAGTATTTTAAAGCGTGACCTCCCAGCTTTTCCTCTGTGACCTTACCCCCATGCCCACTCTTTTCCCCACAGTGGTGGGACTCTCTGACTCTTCACTTTAAGGACTTTCTTGTTAATAACATGTTCTCTCTACTGTCATTTTCTGACACACTCACCAGACCAAACCCCATTCCGCATCAGCCCAACAGTCTGATTTTTCCTCTCCTTCCCAGAGATAGCTGCATGCTGCTGAAGGATCCATCTGTGCATGTTGGTGCTTCTGCATAGTCAAGGTCTCCAACTTCCTGGTGGGACCTGGAAGACCCCATCTGGCTGAGTTTCCTTCAGCTTCTTAAATGCTCCCTATACTCTTCCAGGCTTTTCCCAGTGTTACTCTCTCCACCTAACTCCCTTACCTTCTCTCTCACCTGGCCAACTCTTCATTCTTCCTGCCTCAGCACCATGTCACTTTTCACAAGAAAATGTTCCTGCCCCTATGAAGTCTGGGTGTAAGGTCCTTCTACCGACCCCCCCCCTTCCCCTGCACCTTATTTTGAGGACAATTTGGCCATATCCATTAGAATTTTTACCCAGCAATATTCTAATAGGAATCTCTGATACAGAAATTCTCAATGTACATAAAAATGCGTATTCAAGGATGCACATTAAAGTGTTGTTTATAATAGCAAAAATTTAGGGAAAAATCATAAGTATTCCCCAAAAGAAACTATTCAAATTATTATGGAACATCCATTCAGTGCTTTGCAATCATTGGGACAAATAAATCTAGCAAATTCAAATGTTTGGGCACAGAATGTATTGTTAAGTAAAAAAAGAGGCACAGAACAGTGTTTTCAGTATACTGAAGCAGTGTTTTTAGTATACTATAGGTGAGCACACAATTGTGATATCGTAGTCATAAATGTTTGAATATGAAGAAGAACATGTCAGAAAAAATACTACAGAAATGGGCTTCTCGGTTGCCTCTGGGGACTTTGGAGATGAATAAGTCATGATTAGATCCCTAGTTTCATCAATTTAGTCAGTTTCATGGCAATAGCCTGTTCACTTCTTTAATCTTTGGTGCTTTGGTGTTTGGTAGCGAGGAACTGTAGGCTCATTGGAGAAAAAGAAAGGGAGATTTACCATTTATTCCCTTTGTTCTGTATGATGTTTTTTAAAATTTTTTAATTTGGATTTTTTTTACCATGACAAGTCTTACCTAATTTAAAAATATATAATAATGTTACTTGATTGATTTGAGGATATAGCATGATTTCTTTGGCAGCTTGTCTGAGTAAAGAACATTTTGGATTCATAGCTTTAAAACATTTTCAGGTACTATTGAACTGAGTCACATACATGTGTTACAGTATTGGAAGAAATTTCCCATACTTTGTGTAGACAATGAGGACTCTGCCAACTAATAAGATTGTTAACTTTGAAATTCCACATAATTCCCCAATAGAATGAAACACTTAGCAAATAGTTTGTAAAAATACAAATATCATTTGTGAAGCATATTCTCTGTCCTAGGCATTATGGTAAACATTTTATATGCATCATTTCATCTTTTCGGTAACCCTACGTTGTATATATTCTCATCTTCACTTCCGCAGTGAAGACACTGATGTGTAGGGGGTCATACAGTTCACAGGTGGCATTACTATGATATGGGCACAGGCTTGTCTGGCTTCACAGCCCAGGCCCTTTCTGAGGTTAAGTGAGTTTCATAAATATTCAGTTCTGTCATCTACACCAAAGCTTTGTATAAATTTGTATGATTTTTTGAAAATTAACATTGACTTCCTGTAATATCGCAATTGTAAAGTGACTTTGGAAGTAGGAATGAACAATTTTCTAAAAATATGAGAATATGCTTTGGTATGGTACATGTTTACATTTGTTTAGCTGTTGATGTCTAAGTTGCTGGTGTATCTTTTTTATTTTTAGATATAGGATCCACACTAGCGAGAATGGTCCTCAGATACCAGACGAAAAGTTCTGTGGCAGAGGGAGCAGCCTCAGGCAGCAATGGGGATTTTTCTGAGCAAGTACTTGATAAATTTGACCAATGGACCTTCATTCCTGAGTCCTACGTGGACAGTGTGTTTGGACAAAGTGATGACCTAGATAGCGAAGGTATTTATTATAAAAAAAAAATAGTTCCCTGGACTTGAGACATGAGATCTTGGAATAATATGTTTTAAAACCCTTACACACTGACATTGAAAAATGAGAATTGAGACAAAATCCTGATTTAATTTATTTGGAAAAACTTGAGGAAAATGTGTTCATTATTGAAAATAGTTAGTGCTTACTAACTCCAATTCAGGCAATGGCTATAAAAACAATTCATCTCTGCATTTAACAATGTTTTGATACTGCCTTTAGTTGGTGACTGCAATTGTATTCCATGTTCCATCATTGACTATATCCTTTAATAAGGTATAAACCTTATTAAAAGTAGTATTGCCAACCTTCTAGGATTTTTTGGTAAGAATTAGATAAAGAAATGTATAAACTCTCTGGGAGAGTTCTTGGCAAATAGGAAGTACTTAAAATATGTATTTACCTTTATTAGAATTAAGAATAATATTAATCTTTTAATGACTCACTCAAGATAACTTAAAAATTGACATAGCAAGATATATAATGATAGTGATTTGGGCTGACATTTAATGCAATACAGTTTGGTAAAAATAGGGTGAGGTATTTTCTTTTATTAACATAGTGTGATTGTAAACGTTGGGTGATAGAATAAAGGTATTTGAGAGGGCAAAAAGTAAGGATTATTCCAAGATCTCATGTCTCAAGTCCAAGTATTTTTTAAAATAAACTTTATTTAGAAATAATTATTATAAAAGAAATGCACCTACTTAAGTATATATTTTCATGGGTTTTGAAAATTTTTTACATCCATTTAATAATCACTACTATCAAGTTATACAGCATTTCTAGCATTCAACAAGTCCTCGTTGCCTCTTCATAAAGTAGTTCCCCAGTCTTGGTCCTTGGCAACCATTGATCTGCTTTCTATTCCTATAGATTGCATTAGTATTTTCTCCAGTTGCATAGAAATGGAATCATACAGTATGTTCTCTTTTATGTCTGGCTGTTTTCCAAAGTAGTTGTACATTATACTCCCACCAGCAATATATGAAAATTCTAGGTGCTTTCCATCTTTGTCACCATACAACACTTGATATAGTCAGTCAAATTAATTTTAGCCATTCTAGTGAAGGCACAATTCTAGCTCATTTGGGTTGAATTTTTAGTTGGGATGAATATTATTGAATTTTGATCACTATTGATATTAACAATATTTTCATGTTCTCATTGACCATTCATGTATTTTCTTTGTGAAATATTTGTTCACATCTTTTGTTAACTTTTTAAACTTAAATGAGTGCATGTATGTAATGAGTAGTTTTTGTTTTATTTACTTATTGTTCACACTATTGGAGATGTTCCCATTCCCCACCCCTCCTTACCCACCTCCACCCAATGCCCGCTCGCCATGCATCTGGCTTTCTTTTTATGGTATTGTTCAAAGAGTAGGTTTTAAAAATTTTCTAATTGCTATGTGGTTTTTAGTTTGACTTATGGGTCATTTGGAAGAGTGTTTATTTTCCAGATATTTGGGATTTTCCACATAACTTTCTCTTATTGGTTTAAATTTAACATTTTTGGGTCAGAGAACATACTCTGATGATTTTCATCCTTTTAAATTTATTGAGATGCTTTGTTGGACTACTGTCTGGCTTAACATGGTGAACGCTCCATGTGAAATTTAAAAGAATATATATTTGGCTGATCTGGAGTTAAGTCTATTAGTTTGTCTGATTGCTTGGTAGTGTTTTCAGTCTTCCGTATCATTACAGATTTTTCTCTCTACTTGACTGGAGAAAGAAATGTTGAAATAAAAATTGTGGATTTGGTCACTCTTTCAATTTGATCAGCTTATGCTTTATGTATTTTGCAGCTCTGTTATGGGGTGTGAAACAATAAGGGTTTTAATTTTTTTAAATGATTTTACCCTTTCATATTGATCCAACTTACATCTAGTATCCTCACTTCCTTCCTCCTGTAGAACCCCTTTTTCATTTCTTACAGTGCAGATCTGTGGGAAACCTCTTTGCAGGTTACTGGAGCTCTTTTTCCAGGATTCTGCCCCTAAACTCTCAGCTAAGGAAGTCTCCCTGAATGTTATCTTCATCTCATCTCAGGAAAGCCATTGAGCTTTGTTTAAATTCCTTCTCACTGTGCCACAGGCCCTCCAATTGCCCTGAGGCAGAAAGCCAGGGTGATCATAGGCTTTCAGATTTTGTTTCCTTCATTCAAGGACTACACAGTCCAGCACTGTCCCTTGCCCAATGTCTGAAACCAGTTGTTTAAAATATTTTGCCCAATTTTCCATTTCTTTGTGGGGGTTGGTTAAGATCTGTGCTTTTGTCTCTATCATGGCTGAAAGAAGAATTCTTCTTAAGTAAAGAATTCTTCTTTATTTATAAATAAAGGAAAACATTTAAATAAATGCTAACATAAAATAAATTATAAAATGTATAGATGCTTGTAAAAACAGTATGCTAATAGAAGTTTCACAAACATAAAGGGGGATAATTATCAAAATGTAATAATTATAAGATATGTACACAATTAAATTATAAAGTCTATTAAAATACTTAAGCATAAGATCATTTAAATTTTAGGATGAATTAAATTTTAATAATTAATCAAGTAGGAAGTATTTGTATCAGTTTTACAATTTATATAGAATATTATCAAGTTGATTTCTGAATATATAGATTTTATATAATTTTTTTGACACTTAAGATTATGCTTTCTCTTAAGATAAAGAGAAGTATAATTTAATCATAATTTTTAGTAGTGCCTTCAGATTACATATCATTAGTAATATGATTTATTTACTGATCTATTTTTTAAATTCATAATTTTAAAAGTAGTTTTCATCTCTTCTCTCCCAAAACAGTATTGCTAACTAAATACAATGTGTTTATTTAATGTTATTTTACCTTAATAAATAACGTTATTTAATGTTGTTATGTGAAACCATAAAATATGAAATGTAAATAGAGATGTATTCAAGATTGCTGAATATTAAATAATTTCAAGTGTGATTTCAGTATAGAAAACAATGTTTGAAAAATTTCTAAGAAAAATTTAGAGAAACAGAATAGTTTTGATCAGATTTGAACATAAACTTTCTCTGCTTGCTGTACATGCACATACTTATTATTGTATATATAACTAGTTTTTTTCATTTGGCTCTTTTCTACTGTACTATGAGCTCAGGAGGCCTGGATTATTTTTCCAGTTTATCTCTATCCAACACTTATTCAGTGTCTAGTCTATGACAACCATTCAGTAAATATTTATGGATGAAGAAAAGTGTAACTGAATTTTGAAAATGAAAAACCAACATAGTTTATTATTTCTATTTTAAGAATGTTACAATAAAAATTAGGTGATTTCTATTAATGAAAATATTTTTAATCTCATGATTGAGTGTGATATTAGTATCTTATGATTGGTTAAACATTTTCTATTTGCCTTTATTTATTATTTAAAAATAGGAAGTGAAGGTTCATTTCTTGTGAAAAAGAAGTCAAGTTCGATTAGTGTAGGAGAATTTTACCGAGATCCTGCCTTGCAACGTTGTTCACCAAATTTGCAAAGTCATTCCAGTTCACTGGTAAGTTAAATTGTGATTATGTTGTGTGTTTTGTTACTGACATTCTCTTGATAATTGAGCTATTGATAAAAAAAAAGCTAGGAGCTATTGGTGCAGAAATTTCCTGATGTATGAAAACTTCATATCGTGTAGGAGAATTTTACCGAGATCCTGCCTTGCAACGTTGTTCACCAAATTTGCAAAGTCATTCCAGTTCACTGGTAAGTTAAATTGTGATTATGTTGTGTGTTTTGTTACTGACATTCTCTTGATAATTGAGCTATTGAAAAAAAAAAAGCTAGGAGCTGTTGGTGTAGGAATTTCCTGATGTATGAAAACTTCATATCAGAATATAAATATATATCTACATTTACATATATATAATTTTGAGTTTATACTTGTAGATTTTTAAGCATGTTTGGGGCATATACAGGGTGGGGGCAAAAAACATAGGTTACAGTTGTTCATATGGAAAATTATACAATAATGAATAAAAAATAATAATACAAGAATGAACTCTGTTTTCACATACTCACAATGTAAACCTGCTTTTGCCCCACCCTCTATGTACTAAGTATACTTCATTATGATTTTATCCTCTTTCTCTTTTCAGAGCTCCATGTCTATGCGCCCATGTTAGGTCTCTGTCTTACGGTGTC